AACTCCGCTCCTTCCCCAAAGTCCCCGCCCCAACTCCGCTCCCTCCACTGAACGCTGTACCCCCTGCTCCTCCCCCTCCCCTGCTTGAAACAGGCAGGCAGCAGGTAAGCTGGGGCGGTGGCAGGGGGCGCGAGGAGGCGCGGCCCAGTCCGGCCCCCCCGGCCGAGCAGCTCCGGCCCGCCCCGGCCCCGGCGGCTCCAGCCCCAGCTCCAGCCCTAGCGACTTCAGCTCGGCTCGGGCCCCGGAGCACCAGCCCCGGCCGAGAGGCTCCGGCCCTGGCCCCGGGAGCGGCACCAGCCGGTGGCCGAGCACCCCCAGCCCTGGTCCCGGCGGCTCCGGCCCAGCTCAGCTCTGGCCCCGGTTCTGGCCGAGCGGCTCTGGCCCGGCCCCGGCCCTGTCTGAGCGGCGCCGGCCGGCGGCCGAGCACTGCCGGCCCCAGCAGCTCCGGCTCCAGCCCGGACCCAAGCCCCACGACCCCTCCCTATTTTCCCGGACATGGCCGACTTTTTGGAATTTCCTCCCAGACGGGGATTTGAGGACCAAAAAGCCGGACATGTCCGGGAAAATCCAGACGTATCGTAACCCTAACTTACGAGGAAAAATTCACATAAATTGGCATGTGGAGCCTGGTGAAGCAATGACTGGGTGGCGGGATCACGATAAAGGGTGTCAAGCAATGAAGCAGAGAATTATTTAGCATAATATAAAAGGTTATAACTAGGAGTAAAGCGGTAAAAATCACGAAAGAGCCAATTTAGTCTGGATAGTGGGAAATACTTTTAGACAGTGAGATCTACAGTAATAGGCTATGGATTAAACTTCTAGGGGAAGCAGTACAAACTCCATCAGTAGGCACATTTAAAATTATATCTGTCAAAATACAAGTAACTGCCCCTTGGGGAATAATCGTGCACTGGCAGGGAGTTTGACCAGGTGACTTAATATATCTTTTCCATCTCTACATTTATGATATGATTGTTTTATACGCTGAATATGCTTTATGAGTCAAAAAAGCAGTGGATGTGCTATACCTTGAGTTTAGCAAAGCTTTTGATATGGTCTCCCACAGTATTCTTGCCAGCAAGTTAAAGAAGTATGGATTGGATAAATGGACTATAAGGTGGATAGAAAGCTGGCTAGATCGTCGGGCTCAACAGTTAGTGATCAACGGCTTGATGTCTAGTTGGCAGCCAGTATCAAGCGGAGTGCCCCAGGGGTCTGTCCTGGGGCTGGTTTGGTTCAACATCTTCATTAATTATCTGGATATGGGATGGATTGTACCCTCAGCAATTTTGCAGATCACACTAAGCTGGGGGGAGAGGTAGATATGCTGGAGGGTAGGGATAGAGTCCAGAGTGACCTAGACAAATTGGAGGATTGGGCCAAAAGAAATCTGATGAGGTTCAACAAGGACAAGTGCAGAGTTCTGCACTTAGGACGGAAGAATCCCATGCACTGCTACAGGCTGGGGACCAACTGGCTAACTGGCAGTTCTACAGAAAAGGACCTGGGGATTACTATGGACGAGAAGCTGGATATGAGTCAGCAGTGTGCCCTTGTTGCCAAGAAGACTAATGGCATATCGGGCTGCATTAGTAGGAGCATTGCCAGCAGATCGAGGAAAGTGATTATTCCCCTCTATTCGACACTGTGAGGTTATACCTGGAGTAGTGTGTCCAGTTTTGAGTCCCCCACTACAGAAAGGATGTGGACAAATTGGAAAGAGTCCAGCAAAGGGCAATGAAAAAGATTAGGGGGCTGGGGCATATGACTTATGAGGAGAGGCTGAGGGAACTTGGCTTATTTAGTCTGCAGAAAAGAAGAGTGAGGGGAGATTTGATAGCAGCCTTCAACTACCTGAAGGGGGATTCCAAAGAGGATGGAACTCAGCTGTTCTCAGTGGTGGCCGATGACAGAACAAGGAACAATGGTCTCAAGTTGCAGTGGGGGAGGTTTAGGTTGGATAGTAGGAAACACTATTTCACTAGGAGGGTGGTGAAGCACTGGAATGGGTTACCTAGGGAGGTGGTGGAATCTCCGTCCTTAGAGGTTTTTAAGGCCCGGCTTGACAAAGCCCTGGCTGGGATGATTTTGTTGGGGTTGGTCCTGCTTTGAGCAGGGGGTTGGACTAGATGACCTCCTGAGGTC